CTGAAGTCGGTTGCTTAACTGACTGAGCCACCCAGGCGCCCCTACTATAAATTTTACTTTAAGGGATTATAGACTTTAGCTTATAAATAATAAAAAATATATAATAATATTTATTTAAATTCCATATAACTAATGAATTTTCATTGAATATTTTCCTTGATTTTTTGACAAACTCTTTATATTCCACCATGATTTCACAATATCAAACTATAAATAAATGGTTACTTAGTGTCTGATTCACCAGTAAAGTAGCCCATATCACTGACAAATAAATGTGATTTCAACATGAATATTGACTGATATTTTGGGGAAGTTAGAGCTTCCTTACCTAACTGGTGCGAATGTAGTCCCAACTTGTGAACATTTCTGTTTCTATTTATGCTGATCCTGTGACTAGAAATTATATCTTTCCTTTCAACCTCACACATCTCCATTTACTAGAGGTGGATTCTTCTTCTTCTTTTTAAAGTTTATCTTATTTATTTTGAGAGAGAAAGAGCAAGTAGGGGAGAGGCAGGGAGGAAGGGAGAGAATCCCAAGTAGGCTCCAGGCTGTCAGCACAGAGCCCGATGCAGAGCTTGATCCCATGAACTGTGAGATCCTGACCTGAGCCCAAATCAAGAGTGGGATGCTCACGGCGCCTGAGTGGCTCAGTCGGTTGAGCGTCCGACTTTGGCTCAGGTCATGATCTTGCGGTTCGTGGGTTCGAGCCCCATCGGGCTCTGTGCTGACGGTATAGAGCCTGGAGCCTGCTTCGGATTCTGTGTCTCCCCCTCTCTCTATGCCCCTCCCCGCCATGTTTCTCTCTCTTCAAAGAAATAAATTAAAAAAACATTAAAAAAAAAAAAAAAAGAGTGACGCTCAATTGACTGAGCCACCCAGGCACCCCTAGAAGTGGATTCTTCATGAATGAGTTTCCTGATTGCTCAATCAGAATTATCCTTTCTTTTATTCTGTATATCTGTACCTCTGTCTCTCTCTCTCTTTAAATGGGAGTATAGTTGACATACAGTTCCTGTACCTCTCTTATGAAACTTCTTACAGTCTGCCTTGTATCCTCTCCAGCATTGCATATGTGGGGGCTCGACACAATCAGAATGTTTGGGTTTGTATTGCTATGTGATCTTGAGCACGAACCTTAATATATCTGAATCACAAGTTCTTTTTTGTTCATTTTATCACATTTTATATATTTAAAACATCTTTTGTTTGATTCAGTATATTAGCTTTTATTTTTATTTTTTTACCTGGAGAAGCGAATAGTCTTCGAGATGACTGCATTGCATAGGGTTCAGGTGGTGAGCATACTTTGGGTTTATGAATCCTTGTGTTGGTGAATACCTTTAAGCCCATATCCTATGAAGGAAATTATCACCGAATTAGTACATAAATATGAAATATATAGGCACATACTTCATTGAATTTCACAAACATTCCAATTAGCTTAATACTAAACTTTTTTTTTCTTTTTAATTTAAGTGGAGCCCAACTTCAAGCAGGGCCTGAACTCATGACCCTTAGATCAAGACCTGAGCTGAGACCAAGAGTCAGATGCTTAACCGACTGAGCCACCCAAGTGCCCCAATATTGAACTTTTAATGCTCACATCTGTAGAAAGGATATTGGTATACTCACGGAAGTAATTTTATTCTGTTGGTAAAACTCTTTTAACAGAAATATTTTATATATGTGACGTTTATAAATTACACAAGGCAATGAATTTCGGGAAAAATTAAAAAAAAAAAACTTGATTACTAGTCCAAAAAGTTCTAGCTCTGGCCCTTTGCTATGATCAGATCTGCCACTATTCATAATCTTGGAGAAGTCACTTGACCTCTCTGTGTCCCGTTACCCTCAACTGTGATATGAAGGTATTAAAACAAATATGTATTTTTTGTATATATAATATTCCATGAATCTTTAGAATTCAAAATCTTCAAAACATCTTTAGAATCTAAAATACAAGGAATTTACCTGTAGGAAGCTATACATATCTTTTTCATTTGTGTTTGATACAGGCGAATACATGATTCCATTGATGAAGACATTACGGCTATTGACACAGTCTTCATCATCTTCCTCCCGTTGATTCAAACTCGCAGGGAAACCAGTGAGGTCCTTCACTGGTAGCAGGTTATAAACCTGTATGAATGCAAAGGACAAAAGGACAAACTTATTTGTGGCTTATTCTTCTTACATGCGAAGAGAAAAGAAAAGCATAATTACCGCCAGTCTTCTTTGAGTGCCACTGTTGCTTAAATAATTTACAGAGATGAAGCTGTTTTAAGAATTTTGGGGAAAAATACCCCCAAACATCCCCATCGAGGTACACAAGGATCACGATAGCTCGTTACACAGTTCAGAGGCAAACACTAGACTCCATACTAGAATGGAATAAAACTTTATTGGGATAAATCTATGCCTGCTATATTTGGGACATGGTATAAAACATCACCTGATAGAAGGAAATGATAGTTTTGTCTCTCCTTGTGGTTAGCAACTGACTCAGTGTATAACAACGTTAACGAACACATGTTCTGAACGGGCACACGAATAAGTAAATATCCTCTATATAGGATAGGATAATATTTTCTTAGGCATATTCTCCATCTCCCCCCTCGGTTTTTTCTTGAAAGCATATTATATGTTCTCGTCTATCTCATCTATGGAAGCAGAAGTTCCATGAGAGCATGGCTTCTTGTTGTTCAAGGAGTTCACTAATAGATCCCCGCATTCCAACAAACAGTAGGTACACCTACAACACAGCAGGTACTAAATAAATACCTATTGAATGAATGGCTTATGTTACTGGGAACAAAGTGTTTCATTAGTAAAATACTATCAAGGCTCGAGAGGACAGGACTAGTGTTCTAACCCAGGTCTACTCCTAAATACCTGAAAGCTTCTACTTTTTTATTAAAAATAAATAGGATATTCTGCCTTATCTATCCACCAGTGTTGCTATAATTTAAAAAGATCCTGAGATCGGGCGCTTAGGTGGCTCTTCAGTTAAGCGACTGACTGTTGATTTTGGCTCAGGTCACGGTCTCATGGTTTGTGGGATTGAGCCCCACATCTGGCTCGGCGCTAACAGCATGGAGACTACTTGGGATTCTCTCTCCCTGTCTCTCTGCCCCTTCCCCCATTAAAGTAAATTAAAAAAAATAAAAAGACCCCAAGAAGGATGAAATTGTTCTGTAAACATAAAACACTGTATTTTTCCATATATGCCCTTGCTCCCTCTACTGAAATGTATGCAATACTTCCTTTAGAAGAATTCTAATATTTTCAATTAAATTCCATTTGGAAGGACTAAAAAACTAAAAATCGTTTCTTATAACTTTTTTTTTTTAGGGAGTCAAAAATATAAATTTCTCTTTGTAAAATGTTGATAGTAAAAAAGAAACTTCTGGAAGAGGTTATTTCAATTGGCTTCATATTGAAAATTTGAAGACACAAGCAAATGACTATTAGCAAGTGTTGACTTGTTTCTCATTGTTCTACTCCAGCATACACTTGTGCTATTTCTTCCATTGACATTTTAAAGGGTTTAATTTATTAATGTCATTTATCACATAGTAACTCATTTCTCCAAAAACATTTTTTTTAAAGTTTATATATTCTGAGAGAGAGAAAGCACACACGGGGAAGGAGCAGAGAGAGAGAGAGAGAGGAGAAACCAAGAATCCCAAGCAGGCTCCACACTGGCGTTGGGGGGGCTCGAACTCATGAGCGGTGAGACCGTGGCCTGAGCTGAAGTCAGATGCTTAACCAACTGAGCCACCCAGGTGCCTCCATTTCTCCAAATCTTTATTCATCAGAGACAATGTCTATCTTCCTTCAGAAATTGTGTTCATCTTGGAACCTACAGTGTTTGATATAATTCTTAACAAAAACAGAAATTTGATATTTCATATCAGTTGTCGTGCACCTAAATGTACCACTTTTGTTAGGCTTTTTCAAACATTACAACTAGTTTGAAAATACCTATTACCAGTTTAGAGAGCTCTAGGATTTCAGGGGCTTTGAATGGTGCATGATTTTATTGACATACATATATATAAACAAACACACATGTATATATGCGTGTTTATGTTTGTATACGTATATAAACTTATGTAAACAAATACATATCTATGTGTTGAAATGTATTATATTTCTCACCCAAAAAAGTGCCCATGAAAGAGATCAAAGCTACTAACTCCTAGGTAAATAGAATTTTGATAGATTCTATCTTACTCAGATAGGCCTTTCTCCTCGCCCTGAGCCCCTCGCACGGCCCTTCCTGACCCCCCAGGGCTGCCGGGAACTCACCGAGGCCACGGACAGCTCAGCCTCGGGCCTCATGAGCAGCACACTTTGGTCCACGGCACGGAGGGCGCAGAGGGACTGAGGAGAAGCTGAGACTCGCAGGTGGACGTGTGAGGCCGGGAGACTTTGTGCTGGACGGAAGCTCAAGTCCACCTATGAAATTGGGGAGAATGGTCAGAAAAACAAATGTCCTGATTTAATTGATCGTTCACAAGCATTTCCTGAGTGTTCCACACATTCAGGACGTACTCACTTTATTTGACTTGGCGGTGGTCGGCACCATGGGAGTCTTGAGGCTTTTTGTCCCCTACGCTTCACTCTGACTCCCAAGAATCAGTTGAACCATTGTAATGATATCTAAGTCTTATAAATGATTAAATTTGAGATTCCATTTTTTACCTTTGTTACACGGTAAGGTGTTTGTTAAGTGTGGGTGAATGCACACAGTTCTAGATGCTCTCATATTTCTCTTTTGGCTCCCTAGTAATCTTAAAAACTCGTGTTTCCAACGTTTCGTCATAGACGGGAGCCAGATACTCTGAACTGTATCATATAGTAAGCGACAGTGCACGAGAATTTTAAACTAGGAGGCAAGTGGCATGGATTCCTCGTGTGTCTCTGCCATTCCCTTGCTGAAAATCTCTGGAGGATTCATTTTAACCCCTTTGGCCCCAGTGGTTCACATGCAGAAAAGAATTGATAATAACAGCAACTGAAAAAAAAAAAAAAACCCACCTTGTTGGACAGACAGTTTTCAATCTTATATTTTGCAGAATCCCCAACCACTTCCCCGTCAGGTAAAATGGCGTAGATGAGCAATCGGGCGATGGGAGCAATGTCTGTGTCCACAGGGACTGACACCGAAAAGTGGCCTTTCACTGGAGCGCAGAAAGAATGAGGAATTGTGAGTATGGGTTAGACGTCTCCCCAGGGCTGAAATGAAAGTTTTCTGTCCCACGAAGCCAGTATTAGGAGCCTGGTCGGGTTAACGGCTGTTTCTATTGGTTGGTATAATAGGTAGCAACCAGCAGACCTAGTAGGCTTAGTAGTAAACGTAGAATGTTTACCTCTAAGAATTCTGTACCTCTGAGAACTCTAGCTTTAGGAAAAACCTTATCAAAGGGCTCTCTTCTCTTATCATACAATGGTTCCAGGCTAATTTTCAGCTTTAGCTCGTCTACACAAAGTTCTGATTTTATCTGAGGGCATGGAGACATCCACTTGGCTACTATTTGATCTAGACTTCACACTAGAGAAGGGAGATAGAACCAGAAGTTATGAAGAAGCAACAAAAGAGTGGTTCACTGATAAGTTTTGTTGTAAGTGGTCCCTGAGACTTCCTTAGAAGAGCTGAAAACTTCGGAGGTTTATATCGGTCCGTATTTATTCATGGTGAGAGTCCCATTCCATGGTGGAAGTACCCAATTTAACCTTTCATAAATCAGAACTATCTTCAAAAGGGAATATGATAGAAAGATATAAATGACTCAGCAAAAGACGGAGCATATGGAAAACATTCCAAAATTTTACCTTTCTCTCCATTTCCTAAAACAATTTTTTTTTAATTTTTTTTTCAGCGTTTTTTATTTATTTTTGGGACAGAGAGAGACAGAGCATGAACGGGGGAGGGGCAGAGAGAGAGGGAGACACAGAATCGGAAACAGGCTCCAGGCTCCGAGCCATCAGCCCAGAGCCCGACGCGGGGCTCGAACCCACGGACCGCGAGATCGTGACCTGGCTGAAGTTGGACGCCTAACCGACTGCGCCACCCAGGCGCCCCCTTAAAACAATTTTAAAATGCCATTTGAGAAGAAGCTCCATGAATGTCTATGGTTTGAAAACGTGGAATATGCATAGATTATAAAACAACAACATCAACACTTTAAATGATCTGGACAGAATACAGTGTTGAAGGAAAAGAAAAGAAATATTCGGTAAAGGGCGAAAAAACAGCACCCCATTATTTCTTTCCCCTCTCAGCTTCTCATTTATTGGAGTTAGACGGAAACCCTCTCTCTTTTTTGAAACGATTTCTGGTATTTCTGCAGTGGAAGGCTGACTGTGTCGGAGTGGGGCAGAAATGTGGAATTATGGAAATACTCACTATCTTCCTGCTTCACGGGCAGCACATAGGTCCCAGTTCGGACAATGCCTCCCTTTGCCATTATCTGCAGAAAAGGCAAGGAAAAGGAACTTGGTTTGCCTGACAAAAATCTTACACCCCATGTCTTGCCCTTCATGCGTCATTCTTGCTTTCTTGAGCCCGAGCTGGCAATAATTAGCCCAAAGAGAAGCCAAACTTTCAAAAGGAACATGGATAATAAGTCAAAGTAGTGACATCGAAGGGGTTTCCTGGTTCTTTGCCCCTCAGAGGGCTCTTGTCTATGGGGAGTCAACCAACTGGCCTTCCTTCTCACCAGATAATAGAACACGAGCTCCTTCAGCGTCTCCAGGGCGTGTCCATTCAGGATATAATGTGCTTGGACTGTCTGAGTTTGGCCACAGGGCAGTTCATGAGGCATGGGCTCTAGGTGGACAAAACTCTTGCTTAGGGAGAATACAAGGTTCGCAGTGTGATAAGCTTCTTCGTTTTCTGCTGACAGCCATTGATAGCCATAACAGGGACTCTGATCCTTGTATTTGACCTAGTGAATTAAAAAAAAAAACACAGTATTAATTTCATAGATCATATGTCAGAGGGAATCAAAGTTCTCACAAAACTGCCTTGGTTCATTGTCCTACCTTAACTAGCACCTAGAAATCTTTTACTCCACAGTAAAAAGTGAGAGAGTGTTTATCTCTATTGCAGGCCTTTGCACCGCAGAGGCTCCCTGGGTTGGTATTTAAATTTCTGAAGGGCATACACAGAGGCATCTTTTGCTGTGTTTCGTTTGTGCGACACTTTTTTGGGGGCCACTTTACCTACGCAGACAGAGACGCTGGACTTCTAAAAGCCCATTGAGGAGACCAAATAGTCTCCAGAAACTGAAGAACTACACTTCGGAGACTTATTTACGATGGATTTCCACCAGGTATTATGAATATGTCATGTTTCAACCTTAAGGGTCTGAGAACACTTCCTGTCAATAGCGTTGGGTTCCAGAGTTGAGTTGGTCAGTTAGCTGAAGTCTATCTATCACTCCTGGGCTGTCTGTGGTTGATTATTTTATTTTGCTTTCTGAATGTTTACTTATTTATTTGGAGAGCGAGAGAGCTTGTGTGGCAAGAGCAGGGGAGGGGCAGAGGGAGAGGGAAGGAGAGAATCCCAAGCGGGCTCTGAGCTGCCAGCACAGAGCCTGAAGTGGGGCTCGAACCCACCAACCTTTGAGACCATGGTTTGAGCCGAAATCAAGAGTCAGACACTTACCCAACTGAACCACCCAGGCTGATTGTTTTTAACGCTTTTTGTGCCTCTGGACTCTCAAGGTTCATAAGCCCTTTTAGGGTTGTCATTTAACTCTTCTCCATGCAGAAGACTTTCCATATTCTTTTCAGGCTCCCCTATCCTCATCCTCACCTCCCAAGTGGCATGAATGAATCCTTGTGTCAGCAAAACACTTTATTTATATTTCAATATACGCTCCAGTGATAACATATAAATAATTACCAGAGGGGTTATTTAAAAATAATATTTTTATTTTCAGGATGAGCACATTGCCTGGCGCATGGAAAACGTTCAAGACACTTCTTGATTGAATAAATGGGCGAACACTCAATTTTTAGCTAATTAGGAGATATGGGCTTTAATGCCATCCATGTAAAGTGGGATCAATCAGATATCCCATTTATTTGTCATCATTATTATGTAATGTTTACTTGAGTGTCCATATATCTCTATGTGTATATTTACATTTCCATTGATGAATAGAGAACTCTATGCTAATATAAAGCGAATTATATGGGTATAACAAAAATCTGGAGAAAATTAGAATAGCAGCGGGAAAATAAAGCAAGAACAATAATTTATAAGGTGTATACACTTGAAATGAATGCTACTAGTCATGTTAATGGGGCGCCTGGGGGACTCAGTCAGGTAAGCGACCAGCTCTTGGTTTCGCCTCAGGTCATGATCTCATGGTTTGTGGGTTTGAGCCCTGCCTTGGGCTCTCTGCTCACGGGGGAGACCTGCTTGGGATTCTCTATCTCTCCCTCTCTCTGCCTCTTCCCTCCTTGCTCTCACTCTCTCTTTCTCTCTCCCCCTCCCTCTAAAAATAAAACCACCCAAAAAGCTTAAATGCTAGTGATGTTAAAATGGGCTTTTACAGTAATAATATTCATATTAAGTTAAAGGGGGCTTACTAAGTGCTTTAATATGTATTATCTTTTTCATAAGTATATTTTTTCTATTTTTATTTCAAAATAACACATTAACTTTTAAAAAAGAAGTTAAACATCACATTTAATACCCAAACCCTGATAACTAAAGGACATTACTTACAAAATATTTTAATGTTTATTTATTTTTGAGAGTGAGAGAGACAGACTATGAGTGGGGGAAGGACAGAGAAAGAGGGGGACACAAAATCTGAAGCAGGCTCCAGGCTCTGAGCTGTCAGCACAGAGCCCGATGTGGGGCTCGAACTCATAAATGGTGAGATCGTGACCTGAGCTGAAGTCAGACGCTTACCCGATGGAGCCACCCAGGTGCTCCCTAAAGGACATTACTTTTAAATTGAGATATTCCTAAAAGTAGCTTGAGGATTCTGTGTCTAATACTATAAACATGAATATAATACATACAGAATAATGTCTTCCTTTGCCTATTTAGGGGCCTAGTATTTGAAAAGCCATTTGGGTTGATTGCACTTTCTTTCATAAAAGAAAAAAAAAAACCTTTATTAAATTTTGTTTCTCATGTTTTTTTTTTTTTTCTTAAAGTCTCTAGGCTTACTTTTTATTTTTTTTTTAACGTTTATTTATTTTTGAGACAGAGAGAGACGGAGCATGTACGGGGGAGGGTCAGAGAGAGGGAGACACAGAATCTGAAACAGGCTCCGGGCTCTGAGCTGTCAGCACAGAGCCCGATGTGGGGCTCGAACTCACAGACCGCGAGATCATGACCTGAGTCGAAGTCGGCCGCCCAACCGACTAAGCCACCCAGGCGCCCCTAGGCTTACTTTTTAAGTTTCATAGTTGTTTCATTAACTTCACTGCTCAATGCAACAAGATCTACATTCTTCCTTGAATGCCAATCACCTTTCTGATTCTGACCTCTAGATCTACCTTACCTTCCTTAACATGTTAATGCAAAACTCACTTCTTTACCCCGGAGAACAGTAATGTAGCTCTGTGGATTCTGCAAAATTCCCATGTGCTACGTGTACCCCAGCCGGCTTTCCGTCAAAAGTTACAACAGTGTTTTCGTTACCTCCCATTTCTCCATACTACTGGACTCTGGGTTCCTTGCGAATGGAAGTAAATCATAATCTGTGCAATGGCATTTTCTGTTATTTTCGCTATTTCTTCGTCTATAGAGCTTGGCTGAATACAGCCTTTTCTTTTTCTGTAATTTATACGTAACAAACATTTTCTCAAAACCCTCAGCCTCATGTTCTCTACTCTCATTTTTCTGGCAGTCTCTGTCTTCATTTCAGGACGACTCAACTTAGGTTACCAGGTTTTTCCTCTTGTTTCTCCCCCCCCCCTCTTTTTTTGTTTCAAGTTTTTATTTAAATTCTTATTAGTTTCAAAACGTATTATCTTATTTGATGGGGCACACGCACCCCGATATATTTAAATGCTATATATTTATAGCAGCATTATTAACACTAGCCAAATTATGGAAAGAGCCCAAATGTCCATCCACTGATGAATGGATAAAGAAGATGTGGTATATAAATACAATGGAATATCAGTCAGCCATCGAAAAGAATGAAATCCTGCCATTTGCAACAACGTGGATGGCGTGAGAGTGTATTATGCCAAGTGAAATAAGTCAGATAGAGAAAGAAAGATACCATATGATTTCACTCATATGTGGAATTTAGGAAACAAAACAAATATATGGGAAGGAAAAGAAAAGAGAGAGGGAAACAAACCATAAGAGACTCTTAATGATAGAGAACAAACTGAGGGGTGATGGAGAGAGGTGGATGGGGGATGGGCTAAATGGGTGACGGACATTAAGGAGGGCGCTAGTTGTGTTATACGGAAGTGATGAATCACTGAATTCTACTCCTGAAACCAATACTGCACTGTATGTTAACTAACTAGAATTTAAATACAAATATTTAGTATTTAATATTAATATTTAATATTTAAATACAAATATTTAAAAGAAAAAATAATTAAAAAAATGTATTTTTTTAAATACATAGGAATTAGGTACTAATATTGTACCCGCTTTACAGATAAGAAAATAAAATATAGAAGTTTTTCGTTATTTTCTCTTAATATAGAGTTAAGTCAGGATTTTAATATAATTTATCTGATTCTGGAACCTACTCTTTCTTTTCTTTTCTTTTCTTTTCTTTTCTTTTCTTTTCTTTTCTTTTCTTCCCTTCCCTTCCCTTCCCTTTCCTTTTTTTCCTTTCTTCTTTCTTTAAACATTTTCTTCTTCTCCTTTTTTTTTTTTTTTCAACGTTTATTTATTTTTGGGACAGAGAGAGATAGAGCATGAACCGGGGAGGGGCAGAGAGAGAGGGAGACACAGAATCGGAAACAGGCTCCAGGCTCCGAGCCATCAGCCCAGAGCCTGACGCGGGGCTCGAACTCACGGACCGCGAGATCGTGACCTGGCTGAAGTCGGACGCTTAACCGACTGCGCCACCCAGGAGCCCCAAACATTTTCTTCTTAATGGTGGAAAAAACACATACCAAAAATGACCATCTTAGTTATTTGTAAGTGAACAGATTGCTGGTATTAAGTAGTGTGCAATAGATCTCCAGAGTTTTTTCATCTTTGTACAACTAAAGCCAATAAACAACAATTCCTCATTTCTCCTCTGCAGCCCCTGGCAACCACTATTCTTTCTGTTTCTATGACTTGACTATTTCAGGTACCTAATGTAAGTGGAATCATACAGTTTGTGTGTGTGTGTGTGTGTGTGTGTGTGTGTGTGTGTTTGCTAACGGGCCATTTCACGTAGCATAATGTCTTCAGGGTTCATTCACATTGTAGCATGTGACAGATTTCCTTTCTTTTTAAACCTGATACCATTCCACTGTATGTATAGACTACCTTCCGTTTTTCCGTTCATCTGTTGGTGGATATTTGGTTGCTTCCCCTTCCTGGTTAATGTGAGTAGTGTTTATTATCAACATGAGTGTGCAAATATCTCTTTGAGACTCTGCTTTCAATTATTTTGAATATACATCCAGAATGAGATTACTGGATCATATGGTAGTTCTATTTTTAAATTTTGGAGGAACTGCCGTGCTGTTTTCCACAGTGGCCACACCATTTTGCATTCTCAACAGCGCACAAACGGAACCCACGCTTTTAACCACAACACTATACTGCCTCCTTTTTAATAATGTTTTCAAAGTTGACCTGAAAAATTGACTTATAATTTCTTTTTTTTTTCATTTCCATAGGACTAAACACCACTTGGAAATGTCATCACTTCTAGGTTGCAACCTTATTTCCAAGGCTATTTCATGTCATTGGTGACTTCTCTTCCAACTTACCCTGACAGTGAGAGAGGTGCCCATCACGCTGGTGGGGTCGATAGAGAACTGTACCAGGCCATGCTCATCAGTGGTCGCATTGGATTTATAGTTAGCTTCATTTGCTGTGATGAAGATGAGTTCATTTGGCATGGGGACACCTTTCCCATCCACTAGTTGCACCTGAAGATTAAAATCTGTGGATCAGTTATATGGTTAATACCCAGCAGTCACCAAACATTCATTCTATCACAAATATTTATTGAGTACATCCTATATGTTGGATATGGTTCCGGGCATTGAGGCTATCGCAGTGAACAAAGCAAAGCTCCGCCATCTAGATAGAGCTCACCGTCTAGTAAAAGAGATAGATGTTAAATAAATGCATAAATGATATATACGTGTTTAGTAGTCATCAGTCCTGAGACAAACAGTAAAGCAGTGTAAAGGGATGGAGAATCATGGAAATGAAGACAGGGATGACCTGAAAAATGTATTCTCTGGATATTTTATTTATTTATTTATTTATTATTTTATTTTTTTTTTTAATTTTTTTTTTCAACATTTATTTATTTTTGGGACAGAGAGAGACAGAGCATGAACGGGGGAGGGGCAGAGAGAGAGGGAGACACAGAATCGGAAACAGGCTCCAGGCTCTGAGCTGTCAGCCCAGAGCCCGACGCGGGGCTCGAACTCACGGACCGCAAGATCGTGACCTGGCTGAAGTTGGACGCTTAACCGACTGCGCCACCCAGGCGCCCCTCTCTGGATATTTTAGAAGTGCTGTGGGTTACACAGAACCCTTGGAGAGTCACAGAACACCGGAGTCAGATTGTAATGACAATTTTTAACCCCTTAGCCAAACTTAATTGAGCCCCAGGCACTTATTTGGTGGCTGACCGTTAGCTTTTCATGGATTAGTGTTCTGAAGTATAATAAATGCACAAGTTAGAAGTTGCTAATACATTATCCCGTGTACTTTTCTAGTTGCTTTTTATATATCTGCTTCTCAGTCTAGATTTTCCAACTTTTGGAAGGTAGGCAGGTAGCAGGAGGCACTCCCCATGTGCAAAATGCAAAATTGAGGCGAATCATATAGTATTCAGTAAGGGCTTAAAGTGGAATTACTGCTAATAGCTAATATGGAACTCAGTAGATGAGTAGTCCAGTTAAGATTTCAAAGAGGATGATTTTTTTTCCGTAGAAGCCACTTTTGGTTGTTCAAAAGACTTGGATCAACGTATGTAATTAATTAATAAGATCTGAGTTCGCCAATGAAACATTGGCTGCGCGGGCAAAGTCAAGGTTAGATTCTCTCGAACTGATGAGAGAGTCTTATGACTAATGGGGTAGTTATTTGGCAGGAAGGAAATACAAAAATAGTACAATATACTTCTGAGAAATTAAAAATAAATAGACTGTGCATTTTAGGAAGTGACTAAAGTTTCTGAAATTGTTTGCTGTCAGAACATAATCGAGGCATTCTAAAACACACTTCACCACTTCTTAATGGGGTCTAGTCCCTCTGTCTTTTACAGTCTCCACACCTGAAACCTCAATAACATGTCCATTAAGAATATGATACACGGTAATTACTCATTGGTGGGCATACAACTGTCATCTCAGACTTTTGGAGGCAGAAAGACCCATTTGCACATGTCTGTTTCCAATAGAAAAATAACAATACAAGGTTTTTCGTAGACACGTGAGAAAATTTATATTTTTAGAATCTGGAAGTCTTACACAGCAGTATTTTACCCTCATGCGCACTGGTTTTTAATAAATTCTTGCGAGGGTAAAAGAAAGTGATGTTAACTGTAATATCCATGGAGAAACACTAGGTACAGTAGAATGTTTTAGACTTCAAAATAAAAATTAAAGCCACCTACCCACTCACTACCATATAAAGTTAAGATCATGTGAGTGATCAGAGGATCATGTAAGTGGCCACGGGGAATTTTGAGATTCTTGTGAGGAAATCTAAAAACTTGACACTATCTACTGGGAGTGAAAAGATGAAAAGATTGAGTGACATCGCACAAGGCTGTCCAAAAAGTGGGGGGAAACAGCCCTTCTGATTTTGATGGTGCTTTAGAATGATTTTATAGATTTCATATACAAATTCATAGAGGGAAAGATTTATTTTTATGTGGTTTTATACCTTTGGCTATATTAATCAATAGATAATATTAAGCAGGTCTGGTTGGAGCAGGATATGGGTTTATTAAAAGATGCTACATAATTTGATTTGTGAATTAGAAAATACTCCACCTGCCCAAAGAAGGGGATCCCTTGTCTAAAGTATGGGTCCACTTTCACAAATGAGAGTTTGGTTATGGTTCTTGTTATTTCACTGGATCCTTTTCCAGTTAATTCTACCTCTGGAAGAAAAAAAAAAGAAAGAAAATAAATTGGTTTTTGGAAGGATGATCCCCCCTGAACAACTTCTTCTTCTTCTTCTTCTTCTTCTTCTTCTTCTTCTTCTTTTAATGTTTTTAACTTATTTTTGAGAGAAAGAGAGACAGAGCACAAACAGGGGAGGGGCAGAGACAGAGGGAGACACAGAATCAGAAGCAGGCTCCAGGCTCTCTGAGCTGTCAGCACAGAGCCCAACTTGGGGCTCGAACTTGTGAACTGTGAGATCATGACCTGAGCCCCAGTCAGACGCTCAGCTGACGGAGCCACCCAGGCGGCCCAATCCCCCCCTGAACTTCTTATGTTACTACTTCCCTTCCAATTCATAATTTGGCAAAGGAAATAAATCAGTGTTCATTGCTTTTCCCCCCATACCCACATGGTACACAAACCTGTTCCTTCTTCTTGGATCTTGGCCTCCACTTCAAGCTTCATTTCATACCCTTGTCTCTTCATCTGGAAGATCTTGGTTTTTATTTGTTGAGAAAAGCAGCCCTGGCTGTTTAGCTAGGAGGGGATAAAGCAAAATACAGAAACGTAATACTGGACAGGTCAGTGGTCGGTTAATCTGGTGGGATTTTTTGGGGGGACAATGTAACCCAGGGGTTTTCTAATGACAAGAACACAATAAATATTCTCTAGGGATTAGTTATGATTACATTTCTTGATAGCATCTGGTTCATTATCAGACATCTATTTCTTAGTATCTGATATTCCCTAGAGTTAATGGGATAGGCATGCCTTAAAAATTTGTGGGTAATCTTACTGTAGGGAGGACCTAACTTTTCACCAAAGCCGGGCCCCCCTTCCATAGTACACAACTGTTGCAAGCAAGTGGCTGCCCATCTGAAGACTGTGTTTCCTACCTCCCTGGCACGTAGGTGGGGCCATGTGACAAGTTCTTGCTCATGGAAAGAAGGCAAAACCTATACCCTTCCCAGCCCAAATGCTTAACAGGTATAATGATTCTCCTTCTTCCTTCATACAAGTAGATGTCCAAGGCAGCTTTGAATGCCAGGTTTGGAGACTGCTCTCCACTTCCACTATTCTGGGTGCTTGGTGAACCAAGCACACCCCCAGTAGCCAATTATAAGAAAGAAGTAATTCTTATTGTGCTAAATCACTGACATGTAAATTACTGTGGCTAACACAGCATTCTCTTGTAGAGTGTTCTCTTCCTGGGTTAGCACCATGTTGTAACTCACTGCTTATCAACAATGTCTCTATTGTTAGTTCCTTAAGAGGGACAGTCTTCCACCTACCTGTTGACTGAATTTCTCACAGATGGCCTGTGACTCTCCACTATAGCAGTTAGAAGGGTTACTGTACTTTCTGCACATGCTCATAGTCAGATGTCCTTGGACAGGCTTCCCGTATGTGTATCTGTCATAGGAACATTGCCAAATGAATCAAAGCAGACATTGAACATCCCCATTTTCTACCTATTTATATTCCCCCTTTAGCTGAAGTATATTTCCTCTCTGTACTTCCCTCTAATCTCTGCAGGGCCTTCACAATGCTAAGAGCAAGTAAGTTAAGTAATGACCCTTCTTTTTAACAAATCTCTAGTGCGACATGCTGAGATTTACTAGTCTTCTTTGATCATGCCTTTTTTACCCCTTAATTTTTTATTTTTAACCCCATCTTTTTTTTTTTTTTTTTAAACGTTTATTTATTTTTGGGACAGAGAGAGACAGAGCATGAACGGGGGAGGGGCAGAGAGAGAGGGAGACACAGAATCGGAAACAGGCTCCAGGCTCTGAGCCATCAGCCCAGAGCCTGACGCGGGACTCGAACTCACGGACCGCGAGATCGTGACCTGGCTGAAGTCGGACGCTTAACCGACTGCGCCACCCAGGCGCCCCAACCCCATCTTTTAAAAGATACATGTCTTATTACCAAAGCTACCCCTGTTCTTAAGAGAGAGGGGAAAAAAACAATACCAACAAAACCAAGAAGAGAGAAAATGCCCTCAATTCTACCTAGGAATACAAACTATTAATATGATGGTGTCTCCTCCCATTATCCTCTTGTGATGTGTTGCCTTCTCTATGTATATGGAGTTTAACTTGTTTACTTTTTATGAAACTGGGTTTGTGCCATATAGATATGTCATTGATGGTTGATGTGTTTTCAAGGGCATTTGTTTCCTTCCCTATCTAAAATATCTTCTGAATCTTTACTTGCAAGAGTATTGGCTCACCAGTTACATAGGATCAGGAATTTGGTGGCGATTACTCTGAGACAGTGCTGGGGCAGGGACCCTGCGGAATTGTGGGTGCATTACGTGTGCGGTCGTTGGCAGGGCTGGTTTCTTCACTCTGTTTGCTCTTTCTGCTAGTGCTGTCGATGGACGACTGGGGATGGGAGCATTAGATTTTAGAAACATGAATTTTCAAGGTTGGAAAGGACCAAACTGAGATATCATGTCCAGTGTCATCAGGAAAAATGGCAGTGCTGAGAGGAATGTGACATGACTGGGGTAGACCGATGACTCAGCTGAGATCTTGGTAATATGCCTATCTCTACAAATTCTGAATCAAAGCTATTTTTCCACTATGTATGCAAGGTCACATAAATGATCTGTTGATGACAGAATTTCCTCTACCTGGGAAATGGGAAAGTCACTATCCTTCAACACTATCCCATTTGTGTGTGCGTGTGTGTACGTGTGTGTGTGTGTGCGTATAGCTTTGTCACTTTCAGAATCAGTCCTCATAGATAGGTTCTCTAGGAACAGTTGCTTGCCCCGTGATAGTTATGACGACGCTGGTAAGGACATGAAAGAACATAAGAAGGAAAGATAGAGAAGCAACAGGCGAGGAAGGTTCTAGAGATGGGATGATTCCATGTACTTAAAGTATTTGTCCTCCCACTGTTCTTTTTTTTTAAATTTTTTTTTCAACGTTTATTTATTTTTGGGACAGAGAGAGACAGAGCATGAACGGGGGAGGGGCAGAGAGAGAGGGAGACACAGAATCGGAAACAGGCTCTGGGCTCTGAGCCATCAGCCCAGAGCCTGACGCGGGGCTCGAACTCACGGAGCGCGAGATCGTGACCTGGCTGAAGTCGGACTCTTAACCGACTGCGCCACCCAGGCGCCCCTGTCCTCCCACTGTTCTTAAAGAAATGAGTGAAAATATCCCAAATGGTGAGTCTCCTTTTTTTTTTTTTTAAAGTTTACTTATTTTGAGAGAGAGAGAGAGAGAGTACACATGAGCGAGGGAGGGGCTGAGAGAGAGAGAAACAGAGAGAGAATCCTCCCTGATGTCAGCACGGAGCTGGACGTGGGGCTCTAACTCAGGAAATGCGAGATCATGACCTGAGCTGAAATCAAGAGTCAGACGCTTAACTGACTAGCCACCCAGCTTCCCCATGGTGAATCTCCTTTAAATAATTCTCTCAAACGATTAAAAAAAATAATAACAATAAACTCACAGGCCACATACTGACACATTCACCTCTTCTTCCAAGATAGTGATTATCTTTGGCATTGTTACTTGGACTTCAAACTTGGGGAGAACTGTTCATCAGAGATAAAGGAAGTTAGTGATTGTTTTTCAACTTTTGGGGAGTTAGTATTTTCAGTTTCTCTGTAACAATTCCCTAACAGTGTTTTAGGGTCCTGAAAAGTTAGCTGTAGTCTTCCCTCCAACCACCTTACCATCAAATGGATATTCTGATTGAAGGACTGTGATGGATCACTGTAATCCTAATGAATTATGGAAGCCTTCTCGTAAAGGTATTTTACATTTTTTTCGAGATTAAAAATTATTACAAAAATAACCAAGCTACACAAAGTCCTATTCACAGATTATTGATAGTCTCATTGGGGTTAGATATAACTGATTCTACTCGAAGCCCAACCTCACATGTAGGAAATGAAAGGACTCTAAATAACCTCAAATTCCAGGCCCTGGAAGTTTGGATATGAAGAAAATGCTCCGTGACTTTCCATTATCCATACCAAATTCCTCCACGGCGAAGGGGTGCTCCGTTCTTCCACCTGATTCTTTCTGTACCACCACCTTGTAAGAGCCCTGGATGGGCTCTGATGAGAGGGGAAAGGCCAGTTGCGTGAGACCACTCGCTAACTTGAGTTTCTGCCATTGTGCGATACGATTTCCTTTCGGGTCCTATGGATACAGTAATTGTAACTTACAAAAGAGCCTAGAGCCCTAGAGACAATAAAAGAAATCTATGGAAACCCCTATGTTATTCACAAAGACAACCAATGGGGTGGTTGGTGAAGGGAGGGGAGGAAGATGACAGAACCATCTGGTGTTGTATGAACTCAGACATTTCTCCCTTAATGACAAGCTTCCGGTAGAATGTAACAGCCTCCCAAATATGAACATTTTCTCTAAATGTATTACTTTAATTCTGATTATGGTATGTTTCCTGTTGCTTACCTGAATGAATACAAGTGGAATCTGAAAGACAAAAGAGAAATAAAGGAATGTAGAATTATTTTCAAATATTCTTAATTGTGATTTATAAGCAAGACATCTTTATGCAGAATACCTCTATCTATAGTAAAACAGGAAAAAAATTCAGGTTAAGTTTTATAAAACTTTTAACTAATCTATTTTAAGCAATTAATAAATAATATTAAGAGCTTATTAAGCTATCAGCAAAATATAGGTATGTGCACAGTCTTTTATTAGCAATAGTATTTACTGACATTACTTCAATGCTTATAGCATCAAGTGAGGAATACTCACTCCTTTGTTATGAAATTTTACGGATTAGGAAATAAACACCAACAAAATTAGAAGTAACCATACTCAGATCCAAATACTGAGATGGCCAAAGAGTTCTTAGTTCGAAGAATAAAGAAGAGGAATAGCTCCTCTGCTATCAATATTTAGTCATTTAAAAAAATGCGTATTTATTTTTGAGAGAGCACAAGTGGCGTGGGGCAGAGAAAAGGGGACAAAGGATCCAAAGCGGGTTGTGTGCTGACGACGATGAGCCCGATGCAGGGCTCCAACCCACCAACCGTGAGATCATGACCTGAGCTGAAGTCAGACCTTAACCAACTGAGCCACCCAGCTGCCCCAAGATACATATTTTATATATTCTTAATATTTATATATTTATAATTTTATATGGATACTGATTTGATATTTAATATTTATGAATTTAAGATCTATATCAATGATATATCAGTCATGTATCTGAAATATAAAGAATATATATGATAAACATATTATATACACACACACACTCACACACCTGATTTATATACCAGGTAGGGAAATGCCAAGAAGAAAAAAAGGGGGACAGTAAGGCTGCTACAATGATGGATAAGGTGTTTATTTTAGACGGAGATGTGAAAGTAGAAACTAGGAGACCAGCTTCAAGGTTACTGAAATAGTCTTTTTTAGAAGACTATTATTCTAAGACTATTAGAAGTCCAGACAGAAATAGTCTGGACATATTTCAAGCTAACATGACTTTCAGATGTAGTGGACGCGAGTGTCGAAGAGAGGAAGCAGGGATTACGTGAGAATCTTTTGTTTAAGGCGTTAGAAGAAAAGAATTGCCTTTGAGACAAGAAGATGTGGTGGGGTGGTGGGTTTGGGAGAGAAAAACGAAGACTTTTTTGTTTGATGTCTGCATTAAAGCTGAGTTATTTCTTATCAATATCAAGTAGGGTTAGTTTCACTTGATCTTAGCCAAACGGCTGAGAAGCGATCAAGTAGTGTTAGTTTCAAGGAACAAAGACTGATTACACTCTTCCTTTATAGAGGCGGTTTTTGGTAGGTATGTTTAGAAAAATTCTAACTCTTTGATAGTTTATTTGAATTTAAGCTGTTTGATGGTGTAGGTGGGTCTATTATGTAATATCTCTTTCTAATTTGCCTAATTGAGAACTTTATAAGGAATAAGTTTAACTGTGTGACAGGTGACTAAGTACCAGTACCAAGATGGAAAGAATTAGGTACTCTCTTGAGCTGGGGTTCTGGTTTAAATGAGGACCTCTCACTGTTGTACTGCCAGAAATCACCACCAGTGATACCAGATTCTTCCTCTCCCTGGTCCTCCTCCAACACCAAAAACAGGCTTCCAGATTGTTTATCCAGATAAGAATGATTCCATATAGACATTTGGAGACTCACCAACTCACTCAGGGGGTGAAAATTTCCATCCAATGAGACAACACGAAACTTCACTGAAACAGAAATATTTTCCATGAGTCTCAGAGACCTTAAGTCAGGCCTACGGGCTGGTGAGACAAACTTTTAAATTTTTTTTTTTTTTAACGTTTATTTATTTTTGAGACAGAGAGAGAGCATGAACAGGGGAGGGGCAGAGAGAGAGGGAGACACAGAATCTGAAACGGGCTCCAGGCTCTGAGCTGTCTGCACAGAGCCCGACGCGGGGCTCGAACTCACAGACCGCGAGATCATGACCTGAGCCGAAGTCAGACGTTTAACCGACCAAGCCACCCAGGCGCCCCTCAAACTTTTAAAGAACCAGGACTACAAGGCCTTTGACTGGGGAATATGCAGGGGAGGAAGATCTTTTCTTTTGGGAGTGGTTCTAACTGTAGGGCCTCTTCGTACCTGTTTGCCCTGGTTTGTAGATGGCTTTGTCTGTCTGGACGAAGACCAGACTCTCTTCATTTTTAACCACGACTGTGGTCCGCTTCTTGAATTCTTGGGTTGGTCCTTTCACTTGGACAGTGAGGAACATGACCTCCTCATTGGATGGAGACCTTGGGACCTGAAACATAAGACAGACCCCAAGAACCCATTCAGTCTCCCAAGTTTCCCCCGCCACCCCATGTTCCTCCCCTCTCTGGACATCTGGCCCCTTTGCTTCACTGCGCCCCCCTGATTGTCAGTAGGGGAGGTTGCCATGGACAGGAATTACTTCTGTCATTTTACAAATGGGGAGACAGAACAGAAGATGGAGGAAAATATATCAGTAAAAGGGGGTCATAAGTGAGACTCACATCTCCTTATAGATCAAACAATACAGTCCTGATCCAATTATATACTGAACTTTACCAAGTTGATGTTATGTGTTTAAAGGGCATGGTAGGAATATATTTTCAGGCTATGGGAAAGAAAACTACCATAGTTTATTGGCCGTAGGCTATAAGCATGTTACATGTGGGCAACTCTGAAGAGATTGGATATGTGTTTATGGAAATTTCCACAATTTTCACTCTTCAGTATGGGGTGACGCGTTCCTGTCAGGCCACCACTGGGGGCGTGCGTCATGCATTGGTCTAGTGTGCCTTATTAATATTTTTTTCTATTTTCCATTTTACAGAAGTCACATTTTAAGAAGAAGCCACATTTTCCCTTTGTCCAGTGTATACGGCTTTTTCCCCTCCTGGCTAACAGAAATTTTCTTTGGTCATTAAGTTGATTTTTAATATGCCTATAACTATTCGGCTCCCATGGCTGGAAATTCACACACAGTGCTTCTTAATTCCTATGCATAGTTACTACATTTAGATTTCTTTCTGAAGTCTTTTCCAGGCTCTCAAAGTTTTATCTTGACTGAATTCTAGATGCCTATGACCCTAACCAGTAGAATCAAGTGTATTAAGTCAAATGGGCATACTCACAGTGAAGGAGACGCAGTGGAATAAATCCTTCTCCGCCACCAGGTCAGTGAAGAGGCTCTGGTTTCCCCTGAGGGACTCCAAGGAAGCACTTACAGTCACTGTCTCATCCAGGTAGCTCAGAAGGATGCAACCCTTCTCAGGGGTCTCGGTGTGGAGCAGGGAGGGGACCAGGGCCATGTACTGCCTGGGAATGGGGGAGTCCAGTTAGAGGAGAGTGTAGGACGGGAATCACCCTGGTGTTACCGCCAGCACTATTTTCCATCACAATTATCGTTACTATCATTCGTTTTCTACCACGAGAAGACATATTGGTGAACATGAAATTGATCTCTGCTGTGGAACGGCACGTGTGAGACTTATTCCCTGCCCCATCACCAATGCCACTGCAGTGAACATTTGACTTGTGTGAGCAAATTTGCTGAGACACCTCACTTTCAGGAACACCGCATGCAAGCATCCGAATTCACATCAGAAATAGGCTGGTTACACTTACCGTGTCGTAAATCTATTTTACACTGGGACTGTTGTAAAAAGCAAGCAAGGTCTCAGGGGAGACATTGCAAAAACCAATCAACGTGCAGTACTTTCCCTGGATATATATATCCAACAACCCTGTGAAAATCGTATGGAAAATACTTGCTTCCGCTTTGTAGATATGGAATCTGACGCTCAAAGAAAGAGAGTCATTAGTTTAAAGTCTCAGTTGTGGTGAGCAACTAATGTTATCTTCTTGTTACCTAACTCTGGCTATTTGCATTTTCAATATTTGCCCTTCAGTTCTTGGCTAGACAGTGGTTCCGCCCACAAATGGCCTTCTAGTGATTGAATTTTGGGCCCAGGTGACTCATGAGCAGAACAGACTTTGACAATACCCTCATACATAGCTTTATTGGCTGTGTAGTTTTCAAACATTTCTGCTCACAGAATTCCTAAAATAATTTTTAGACACTACACATTCCTTACATATTTTCAAGTAAACATGTATATTTTTGTCACAAGTTTAAACAATAGCAAAAGATACTATTTCCAATGACATGTTTAAAGTTAAAACTTCCATCAGTCTTTTATAAGTTTTTGAGGGGTTCTTAAATATTATAGCGACAACATACCCAATATGACCTATTTAAAAAATATGTCAAAATGTCCTTTCTGTGATGATCAGAAATTTAACATCTTTCTTTTTTTTTTCCTCCTTAAACTTGAATTACCATGCCACTGACTACACAGAAGTTTGTCCTAAGACTTTAATGCTTCAAAATATGTTCATGGATAACTCTGGCTTCTTTATTAACTATATATGTATATATATATACATATGCTCATACATATAATACTATGGATGGGTGCTTAATTTAACTTTATCTCTTTATGCGACCATAAAGTTGTAAATGCTAAGCATTTTCTTCTGGATTGAATTATTTTTAGAAGCCTTACGAGAATACAACTGATCAAAACAATATGAATGTATTACAAGTCACGATTCACACATACTATAGCAAATCAAAATATTTTCGAAGCACATATTTAATGAGAACAATGAGCTGTTTTTGTGTTTCCACGAATGGCTATGCCTTAATAGCGAGAATTGAAAGAGGCCTAACATTAATTGAGTTGCTATTTTTAGTCTGTATAGACATGAGTGCCACGAAAAACTGTTTACCTGAAAGTAAATAAAACACAGATAAAACAAGTATATCGTTGTTACCGGCTTTTGCAACTCCTTCTGCATTATATACCAACATTCACCAAGTATCTATTATCAAGAATCGCTTCTAATCACCTGTCAGCTGGTATTTCGTTTGGATCCCCCTCAACTTTGTTGACACAAAGCATTCATCATCACATAATCTGCCAAAGAATTTTCTCCCTCATCGTTAGAATGCTTTGCTTTCTCCACACCAATGTCAATAGTTCAAATCGTTTTTATGATTTGGCATCCTACAGATTTTTATACCCCAGGACAGTGCTCCATGGTAGCATACGATTGGAGGAGAGGTTTGCCTTTCTCTTTCTTTCTTTCTTTCTTTCTTTCTTTCTTTCTTTCTTTCTTTCTTTCTTTCTTTTTTGTCTTTCTTTTATAAAGTGGAAGATGGACAATGAAGGAAGGCGAAGTAATAAAGGATAAATAGCACGGTCGAGAGCAAGCAATCTGAATGTGAGGATCTGGAAATCGATTCCTTTGAAAGGATCACTTCCCAAAGCCCCTTAGAAAGTCTTTGCATATGCCTAGCAAATTTAGAAATTCAGAGATTTGGAGAGTTGGAGAGGATTAGTTAAGAATAAGTAAAGAATGAATAAACCAGATTTATGAAATCTCATCATGGGAAGAGACTTTAGGGGTAAGAAGGTGACAGTTTCATGGGAAAGACAAATGAATCATACAAAGGAGAATCAGAGAGGATTCTCTTTTAGGGAAAGGATTCTTTATGTTCTATGTGAAACTCACAGTTTTCCAGGGACTGAGGCATCTGCAGGCAGGAAGATCAGAAGGAGGAGAATAAGATTTGGATGAAGGAGTTTGTTCTTCCCCATGCTGCAGGGAGAAGGGCCCCCAGGAGACCAGACTGTACTGCACCCCGCTCCCCTGCAACTGGTCTGGTCCCAGACATTCCTCAGAGCAACTAGGCTTTATGCTGCTCTCTGTGCAAACAGGAAGTTCCACCCACACATGGTGTCTAAACAAAGTAGAGGTCTCTGAACTTCTGTGAAAGGGTCATTGCTCTCAGGGGCCTAATTACAGTCAAGGTTAATTCCTTGTGGGCTAAAGAGAATTCCTGGAGGGATAAAATCCACATTCCCCTTCATGCTCGCTTTCTCTGCCTTTTACTGTAAAGCAGCTAATCGGGTTTGCAACCCCTTCTCTCTCTTACTTCTTCGTTCCACTTCCCCACAGCTCCTTTTGTGGCTCTCCTCACGTCTCTTGCCTGAATAGTTGGCAAGGGAAGCTACAATTTAAGCAACACTGGACAGGCTCAGAAATAGCTATTTCACTGCAGGTCAGCGTGCCTGCAAGTCCTCCATCAGATATGCCTGCTCACATGTTGAAGCAGTTTCAGCATTCAGTAGTTCTCTCTGGAAATGATATTGGATTGAGCTAATAGGTGTTTGACCTTAGGGATATTACTGGATGGTGGATGCGGAGCCAGATCCTGGGGGAATGAAAATAGAAAATATTTTCCTGTATTGAGACAGTGAGAAGCTGAAAAGAGAAATGGCAGGACCTCAAGAAGAAAGCTTTGACCTACAGTACAAAAATCACAATAGTCTTTATCATTTACTGTACACACACGTTTTGTTACTGCCTTCTAAATATACTACTCTTCAACAGTCTTTAATCATATAAACTATTTCATCCATCCATCCATCCATCCATCCAT